GCGGATCAACCCAAACTACAGCCTGCCCACCTGCAAAGGCTTCTTCAACATCTTCCACCCCGTAGGTATAAAAGCCAGAGCCTTCCTGTGTGAGACGCGTGGAGCACGAGCCCTGGTTCACTGTTCCCCTCCTCCATGCAGTTTGATCCGGTGGCGTACAGGATTGAGCCCATGATCGTCCCAGATCTGGAGTTTGAGCCCATGCTGCTGCCTCACCACAAGGGCAGGAAGAGAATGCACCTCGGTAAGGGACAAGGCAGCCCCTCTCCCCCTGCCCTGGGCAGTGCTGCAGCCCCCAGCCTGTCACCGAGCCCTCCTGCCTTCCAGAGCTGAAGGAAGGGCTGACTCGCATGAGTGTGGACCTGAAGAACAACTTGCTGGGGTCGCTGCGGGTCGCCTGGCAGTCCTTCACTCGAGCCCCGCTGCCAGCTGTGGAGGCGGCGAGCACCGACGCCGAAACGGAGACAGAGGCTGGCGTGGAGAAGCAGCCAGGTCGGTGGTGGGGAGCTGGGGCTGCAGCGTCGTGACCTGCCCACAGAGCAGCGTGCTGGGGCTCCCTGCAGCCCCGCCGGCGAGGCGCCCTTCCTGGTGTCAAACCCCGGCGCTGCTGCCCTCGTCTGTGCTCAGCAAAGGGATTGCCTTTGAGCTGCGGGTGCCCTTGGCTCTCCGAATGCTGTGGCCTTCCCCGTTACTGCCTGATGAAGGGGGAGAAGAGGCAACCTGCCTCGTCAGTAACGGCCTCCCGCGGGTCTCAGCCCACCACATCACTTCGTAGGCCTGCCAAGCCTGTCGCCCTCCTCTAGCTGTGTCTGGCAATACTGAGTTCCAGGACCGAGCCCTCGGGGGGGGAAAGACCGAGCACTTAAGCTGCCTCTCCTCTGCAGGAGCCCACAGTGGGGTGAAGGGAGGGCACGGTGATGCTGTTGTACTTTCATGGCTGCTGGTGTCCCGTGGCTGAACCACATTGCTCTTCATTCCTTCAGACACAAAGCCAGACGAGACTCCTGTGGCAGTGAAGGAAGAGGCCTCCCTCATTAACGTGGGGAGGCTGAATGGAGGGAATCGCATCGACTACGTGCTGCAGGAGAAGCCAATAGAGAGCTTTAACGAGTATTTATTTGCACTACAAGGGCATCTCTGCTATTGGTAAGATTTTGCATATAACCATCAAAGCTTCAAATTCATGTCTGATGCAAGCAGAATGCCAGGATTTGTAAAGCCAATATAGTAAGAAGAGCCTTAACCAAGTAAACACGATGTGCTCCTGCCTGTAACGCAGACACAGAGCGGGGGCAGGGCCAGAGGAAGGAGACTGGCGTAGGTCTCCTTGCCTGGTACTGCCTGTGTTTGCAGGGTGCTGCATCTACCCCGTAACCATCACAGATGTCCCCACAGAGTGGAGGGAAGTGTCCCCCTCTAATTCGCATGTCCTCCTCCTCCAGGGAGTCAGAAGACACGGTTCTGCTGGTTCTGAAAGAGATCTACCAGACACAAGGCATTACACTGGATCAACCTTTGCCAGGAAGCCAGTAACCAACCTGTGCTGTTGTGGCCACTTCATGTAAGTCACCTTGCTTGCACTCCTTCCGAATTTCCTAGGACACCTCAGAGGACACCTGGTTCATTTCAGGGAATAACTTTCCTTATTTACAGCGCTGTGTCTAAGGCAGGAGTTTGTGTCAGGTTTTTTCTTTGGCCTGTCAGCACATTTGGCTTCTTTCCTCTTACCCTGCACACAAGCACTACTGGACACGAGGAGAGCTAACGAACCGCTGCTGCTGACGACAAGGGCAGCAGCGACTGCGCCCGTTACCCTCCGTTCCGTCCCCCAAGGGACGACCGGAGGCGCGGCCCATACTCCAAACCTCCCGGGCTAAAGGTTTCTCATAGACGGGTGGCAAACCAGAGCGTGGCCCCTGCGGTTCTGGCGGGGGTGCTTTCACCCTCCGCTGCTAATCACCGGCCGAGGGCAGACCAGGGTAAGGCGCATCCTGGCGTTTTCCTGCCCGCAAAGCCCTACGCTGGTAATTGCCGGATACGGGAGGCCGGGCGGGGTGGATTTTGGTCTGCCCTAGCGCGGCTATTCCTCTGTTCTCCTTTTGCTTCCTTAGATCCAATTCAACCGAGTACTCACCAGGAAAGTCCAGATTTCTTCTCTGCCTTCCTCTCTCCTCCGCTGCTGTCCCCTGCATGCTGCTTCCCAAGTACTTGCTGCTACCTGGAGATAAGGATGATTTTCCTCCATTTTGGGTAGGCGTGGGGGGGGGGGAAATACCAAGGGAAAACACTTCCGCGCAGACACACACAGCACTTGCCCTGTGACTCCCTGTGGGAACACGTACTTTTAACCCTCCACCCTGCAAGTTATCGCAGTAGCCCCTCTAGCACCGACGCAGACTAGCTGCCTGGGCTAGGAACCAGCATCGAGGGCCTGACTCTGCTCCTGGCTTAGCGAGGAAACTCACAGCTTGTGACCTTTAGGAATAAAAGCCTTAAACACGCAGTGCGGAGAGAGCTATAGCAGCCTTGTCGAGCGAAGGAGATTGCTGACTGCTCCCCGCCGTAACCCAGAGCAGCAGGCGCGAGGACTGCGGTCTTTGGGAGGTGAAGCCCAGGGCACAGGCGTCTGCGGTTAAGCCAGCAGGAACGTCTCTACCAGCCGTTCTCATCCCCTTGACTTGCTGCTGCACGGTTTGCGCACCCACGGGCCGTGCCAGGCAGGGCTGCCCCATGAAACAGCTCGTGAGAGTGGCATGTTCGTGCGCACCTGACCCCGGCCCTCCTGCCTGCTCTAATGTGTTGGTAGTCACTTCTCAGCATCCTCACCCGGCCCACGGCGGCCAGCAAACCAAGGGCCTCCCCGAGGCGCTGCCTGCACCTTGCGTAGGACCAAGCTAGTGGCCAGGTGTAACTGTACAGGAGGAAAACGTCACCTCCAGGTGAAACCACAGCCAGACCGGGGGAAAGTGGCTGCTCCTCGGCAGCACCCAGGCACGTTGGAGGCCTGGAGGGACGGCCCTCCCACGCTCTCCAGGGGCACGGAGCAACGCCACCGTCCTGCTGCAGCCTGGCTCTCAGGGTGGCTACAGGGATCTTGCGCCAGCCAGGCTCGTCACTGGTTTCGGTTTTAAATACCCAAGATGCAGCCAGCGAAGTCGCAGCCCAGAGCCGCGGGGTCTGGACACTGTGTCCCAGTGACCCCGCTGAAGAACTGGCACCAGCTCTGCAGGCAGCTCAGTCTGCAGCTGCTCGCGGCGTGCGAGCTGCGCTCCAAGGGTACGGGCCAGGGAGCCTCCGGGGATCCCTCCCTTGCGACCCACCCACCCAGGCTGACTCACTGGCTGGGCTGAGGCTGGAGCCTCCAGGCAAGGCAGAGGCCAACGCTTCAGCGAGGTGCAAGGTCGTTGCTTTGGAAGAGCCAAACCACTTTCCCTCCCGCTGACTTTTGCCCCGCATGGGGTAAGGAGCCTTTTTTCCACAGCCTGTTTGTTTGTCCTCAGTTGTACTACGTTATTTGCACTATTTGGAAGGTTTTGTTTGCAGCCTACATCCCTCCTCCCATCCCAAAGGAACAGAAGCTGTTCTTTTACCTGACTGCAGAAACAGCCATGCTGCTCAGTCGGCCCCTGAACTACTGATTGCTAACGCGTCTCCTACGAGAGTAGGAAAAGGAACAGTCTTAACACGGGACACTCTCATGATCAGCTTTTTAAGTTATGCACTTTGTAAAAAAAAAAAAAAAAGTTAAATACATTTTAAATGTTATTTAATGTCTTTTCCAGTAAAAGCCAAAATAAAGAAGTAGATGACTGTGGTGTGTGCATATCTGGGGGGAGAGGGAGGGGAGAGGGTTGAAGAAGTCGCGTGTGCATAATTTTAGGGGAAAGTAAAGATATTTCTGTAACTTCTGCTGAAGTTGCAGGGTCCTAGAGGGCTTACGTGGCCCGAACTGAAGCTGACGGGGTGGTGTTTCCATTACTGCTTGGCAGAGGCACACGTGCCTTGCTCTGCTACAGCCTCACCTCTGCTGTTTGCCTGTACGTACACGTGATCAAGAATACACACATCTACAGAGACCAGGGACAAGTAACTACTTACAACAGTCCTGCCATACAGCTGTGCCTGGGATTTCTCAGCAGCACTCTACCCTTCCATTGTCTGAGAAAAACCATGGCGTAGGGAAACAAGCACCTCTGAAGGGATGCTTTCAGACACGATTTCATTTTCTGCTGACTGTCATCTCTTTACAACTGTATTAAAGCTGCAAGGAAAGAGATACAAAATAAAGACCCACCTAGAAACCCCTGCGGACACACCAAAGGGAATGGTTTACACAACAACAAACCCAGTCCCTGAAGCAGGTTTTAGTACCACGGTTCATTAAAAAAATTTAACTCCTTTATTTGGCAAATTAGAAAAAATCAGGGCTAGCACAATAATACAAGTGACAATCATGTTAGCTTCATCTTCCCTCTCCCCCCTTAATCCATCGTTAAAGACTGCAACCTCGTGCTCGTTACTCCAAATTAGCTCAGCTGCAACTGGAAAGCCGGACTTAAACCCGGCGCCAGGAGAGGGTCTGCACTTCGTTTCGACAGACGCTGCCCATGAAAAGGGACGGGACAGCTCGGCTGGACTGGAGGGAAACGACTGACGGTGCCTTCTGGGCTGGGCACAAGAACACCCACCGGACGGGGCATGGCAGGTGGACACATTCTTCCAGTTCTGGCTTCAGCACCTTTCGCAACCGGGCTGTCCTCCCGCAGGCTGGCAGGCCGAACGCCTCGCTGGCTTCGCAGCGGGCCCGCAGGCAGGGACACCCACAGAATTCAGTTAACGAAGCAACACGGGCCCCTGCGCAGGACAACTTACCAGCGCGGCAGAGAACGCCTGCTTGGGTTTCACGTTCACCCTCATTTGAGCCACTTCTGGCAGCCTGTGACCGACCTCCCCACAGCACTGAAGCGGCAGGAGCGGTGCCGGCAGGACAGAGCCCGTCACTACACATCTAGGCGAAAGCTGGAAGCTGCGGGCTTCTCTTGGTGCGCTGGCAGTTGTCTGGATTTGTACGGAAACGGTTTGTGGCACATGGAGTCCGTCAGAGGAGGGTAATACTGCCTGTAGCAGAGGTACGCGAGCACGAAGCCGATCGCTGAGCCAACCAACACATCTGTGGGCAAGACCAGAGGAGAGTTCACTTCCCTTTACCCTCCCGAGCCTCATGACTGAACTCTCCAGCACGGCAGCCCTTCCGCCTGCTCAGGGCTGAGCTGGATCAGCAGCTTGACCCTTGGCTACAAAACGAGGTTTAGCATACACCTAAAAAACAAAGGGAAAGGCATCACCACCTTGCAGGCAGCAAATAAATGACCGCTGGAGGGGTAATCAAAAAACCTAAGTCTCCATCGTGGGCTCTGAACACCTCTGCGGCACCGCAGACCCGCCTCGCACTCAGAGTGCCCCCACTCAGGGCACCCGGCTGTGTCCCCCGCCCAGGCCCCCAAGCAGACTCCAGCCCACCTTGCCAGTGGTGCTTGTAGTCGCAGG